TAGATAGATAGATAGATAGATAGATAGATAGATAGATAGATAGATAGATAGATAGATAGATAGATAGATAGATAGATAGATAGATAGATAGATAGATAGATAGATAGATAGATAGATAGATAGATAGTGGATTGTTGAAACGAGATGACCAAGTAGACCTTCCACGAGAAAAGGACTAACTCCTGGGAAAATGGCTTCACGCAAAAAAAACAACAAAGATACATCCTTCAATAAATTCAAAAGTGTCCTACTGATGGAGGACTTCAAGAATGTGACGTCGTACGCACACATATTTCAGACCGTGTGCATAAGACATCAGTGTTGACTAACGACTTCACCATCTCACATCACTTCTCCAGGAACCAGATTGACACAAGCAAGACCTGCAACATAGAACAGCAGTATCAACTTATAGCACGCATCAACAAAGATCATAAAAATTTGGCACAAAAAGAATCAAGCCTAAGAGACGCCTGTGCCTGTTAGTAAAAAACGAAGTTCAGAAGAGGGATGGTTGTTGGAAACTCAAGAAGACAAATGAGAAGAACACGCATCCTAGTGTACCACACAAAGCCTCCGCTTGCACTTCCGTCTTACATCTGTCTCGTAATACATCTGTCTCGTCATAAAACAGTCTCGTCATACATCTGGAAACATATTTTCAAAACACAAACGTTTATGCTCATCTGCAGACGTCCATGCAAACTTAACAGATGACGTCGCAGAGATTTGTCCAGACTCATCAAATAGTATTATTTTGAAAAATACGGCTAGTTTTACCGATTCCAATTTTAAAATACTTTTCTTATAGTTTTATTTTACTTTGTGTTCTCCCAAACACTGTTGTGAAGCAAGTGTGTTCAACATTTTGCGTTTAGTATAAGAGTAAGGATTGATTCTGTCCTTGGGCTATTCATCATGGAAGCCAGTATTCCTGAAACTTGGGCTTGGAAGCTGGCTTAGCCCTCATATGGGCACTGTACTAACAGTGATAATCTGATTAGGCAAAAGCAGACTCATACTTCGTATACTTGAAATACAAAAGTTTAAGTTGCTTAAAATTGTTCTTCATTAAAATTGTTAAATTGTTTTGGGGGGGGGGGGTATTTCGGGTTCTTTTTTTACCAACAAACGATGTTTTCAATGTTGTGCAGTTTGCACATAATTCATGAATATTTCTTTTCAGAATATAGTCTGGCCCCCTAGGAGACAGTGAATCGGCCACCTGGTTAAAAGTTTTGAGGACCCCTACTGTGCAGCCTAAGCAACTGGATTATTTTGCAGGTATTAGCAGCCTCTAAAGACTACACATTGTTATGCAGATGTTATTCATCTCTTTATTCCTAATGAATCAAAGTTTAAGGAATTCAACACCAGAAAATCACAAACTCAAAATCTGAAGGCCTTGTGTTGCTATGCATGAGTGAAAAAATTAGCTCAATACATGTCTTTTGTGACATACATCGCTTTTCAAGTTTATTGTATTTTATTTTTACAGATTTATAAAAAAAATATACACAGCTTTCGTAGCAAATTCAAAATAGTTCAATTTAATGTATACCGTACATTAAATAGAGCTCCACATTTAGAAACATTTATTTGAGGCTCAGACCTCAGACAACAAGTACAAATAAATAAAACCATCTCACAGTAAGCCAGAATCAGGTCATTTGTTTTAAACACTTTAATATGGCTCTGTGGCTACAATGAATACGGGGAGCCCTCGGTTTACTCCGATTCACTATAAAAAAAAAAAAACGCTTGTCCTACTGTGTTTTTTGGGACGAATGAGATTTACCACCCAAGGCACTTCTGGTCTTGAACGATGCCACTGGCCACTCAACAAAACCTTGCTGGTGTACGAACGCCATTAGATGTCAAGGCTGTTTACATGACTCCCAATACAACTTTGTTATTAAAACAACCGACGTACTAGGGCGTTAGAGTCAAGCTTTAAAACCTATCACATCCGATAAACGTTCATGGTGATAATCTTGGACACTCGGACAAAGCAATCAAAGAAGATTGATAATTTAAAAGGCAATAACGACGTAAAGGTATCATGGGGCGATGTGTCATCAAAGTGTTAAAATGAACATTGAGGCAAGCTTCTGCACGACGTCAATGAATTAGATCACGTGGGGGGGGGATAATGTAATTGTTAGCAGGCCTGCGTGAAATGGTGGGATTGGGCGATATTACTGCTGAGGGTGTGAAAGAAGTTTCAGAGAACCAAGATAAGCTCATTAAAAAATAAAAAGAGGTAAATTTATCACATTTATGTACCTCATTCAGAACTTTATAAAGAAGGGTTGGAGGCGGAGGAATATAGACATGCAATACCTGAAATATATTTTTAAAAAGGATGATACATCAGAACTGACGCGTGGAACTTCAAGAAAGATTTAACTATTGACTGTATTTTGTTCACAGAATTACATAAATTAATTTAATAATGCATTGGTATAACATTTTATGTGGAAAATATAAATGTTATTATACCACCAAATGCCTATGTCTTCTTTTTAATTTTGACGTCGTCGAACCTTCCCTATACTTCACATTATAAGTGTATTCGTTTTACGAACATTTATCTGACCCTGGTTCTTTCAGGAATGGAACTACGGCGTAAACAAAGAAATAGATGTACAAAAATTCTAAGAAACATAACACAATCAAAAGTCAGTAAGTATTTCACAAGAATATATATAAATGTATATATAATTTTTTTCATTCAGTCGTAATTTCGTTTGCTTTTCAAACTTTCTCTGTGTCTCTCTCTTCCTCATTCACTATCCGTCTCTCTGTCTCTAATTTTCTCTCTTTTTTTCGTTCCCTTCTCTCTCTATCTCTCCGACGTCATGACTTGCAAGCATTATAGTAAAATCGATAACCACACTTCCCCTTTTTTTTTCAACCCCAAATTATATTAACAAAATTGGTTTCAATTTTTTGGTAAATCTTCCCACTAATACAATACATAAACAAAACAAATCTTTAACTTAAACAGATATTGCCAAGCAAGTCGAAATGTTTAGCTTAAAACGCACTCTCTCTTTTCAATTTCAAGCAAGTTTTTCATGTTATTATTTATGTTGGATTGTTTCAACTTCAAATCGTGTATATACAATGTAAAATTAATTTCATGATTAATATCAAATTGACATTGGTGACTTCGTCTAAATTCGATATAATGTAATTTATTTAGTTTAGATTGATTTTGTGCTTTCTTCTCTTGCTTTGGTTTATGTTCTTTCTTCTCTAATTCTTTAGTATCATATTGTGTTGATTTATCTTCTTTAGTATCACATTGTGTTGATTTATCTTCTTTAGTATCACATTGTGTTGATTTATCTTCTTTAGTATCACATTGTGTTGATTTATCTTCTTTAGTATCACATTGTGTTGATTCACATTTTTTAGTATCATATTGTGTTGATTTATCTTCTTTAGTATCATATTGTGTAGATTCAACTTCTTTAGTATCATATTGTGTTGATTTATCTTTAGTATCATATTGTGTTGATTCAACTTCTTTTGTATCATATTGTGTTGATTTATCTTCTTTAGTATCATGTTGTGTTGATTCAACTTCTTTAGTATCATATTGTGTTGATTTATCGTTAGTATCATATTGTGTTGATTCAACTTCTTTTGTATCATATTGTGTTGATTTATCTTCTTTAGTATCATATTGTGTTGATTCAACTTCTTTAGTATCATATTGTGTTGATTTATCTTTAGTATCATATTGTGTTGATTCAACTTCTTTTGTATCATATTGTGTTGATTTATCTTCTTTAGTATCATGTTGTGTTGATTCAACTTCTTTAGTATCATATTGTGTAGATTCAACTTCTTTAGTATCATATTGTGTTGATTTATCTTTAGTATCATATTGTGTTGATTTATCTTTTTTAGCATTTTCTCCCAATGTAAAATATTCCATTTCTTCCTTGATTTCCCTCTTCAGATTTATCCACTCATTTTTTAGCTTATGCTGTAAATGTGATGTAGCTTTGTTATTTCCACTTTTGGCATTTCTTTTAAGTATAGTTAACAGTTGCTGTGTTTCGTTATCAAGACGGTTACATCTCTCATTAAAGTGTTTGGCGCGAATATTAGTAAAGTCTTCTGGGAAATATTTCTTTAGAATTGAATCGGGTTTTTCTTGTTTATTTAATGTTAGGATGAGTTCAGTTAGTTTACAGCGTTGTCGTTCTAGCTTGTCTTTATCTTTTGTTTTATTGTCAAAGAGGACACACCTGTAACGCACTTCTTCAAACAGAGTTTTTATCTCACCTCTTTGTTCCCTGCACCAATTATCAAAACTTTTATCAATGTCTCTTATATCAGTTTTAAAGTTGTCACCGTAAGAGAAAACTAAAATTCCCCAAAGTCTGAAAACATCATCTCCAAAGACAGACTTGACCATTTCTACGGCGTCCTTCTCTTGTTTGGTAAATCGGACGCCATATTTCAAGACAAATATCAGGGCATCGAACCCACATCTTTGTAAATGATTTGGTTTCTTATCAGATACATTATTATTGATAATCAATGCATCAAATGCTGACAGCACAGTAGATGACATGTCACTTGGCATGTCAGATCCCGTGTCCCCAATACCAGAACAATCCACAACAAACAACTGGTCATCATAAGCAATTTCGCTTTTTAACCTCGTCTCTTCTGATGGTCCTCTTGGCGCAAACTTTTGACTGTCATCATGTAGTCTTAGCAAAGAATTGCCGACAGAACTTTTTCCGTTACCTGCGCGTCCAACAAGTAGAAGTGTCGTCCTCTGAAAAGTAACAGGATTTTTTAATGAAAAATTGTATCTGCTTTACAAAATATATTAATATATTCATTGTTAATGCACAAAGAGACAAGTGAGAACAGAAAATTATGAACTGAAGAATGGATTGACAACACAGCAAAATACTTGTGTGAAGCAGAAGCAGCTAAATATTGTATCACTTCCTGCAAGTTTTCTAACTGCCTAGCCAACATTGTGCACTTGCAGGCCATTCATAGATAGACACTATGTTAAACAATTACTGTTTTACATTGCCAAAGAAGTGTTTTCAGAGACGGCTGATCGATTTTGTACAGTGAATCTTTAAGGACGCAAATTTACACGAAGGAATATAGTAAATTGCCACAAGAAAACTACAAAAGTCCTAATATAAACGTTGGTATTTTTCTTTTGCGCTTAACGAAAGCAATGAGCTTCGTGATTTATTACTTGGGAGCTTTAAAAGCATCATATTAACAACATATCCATATATATGGTGATTATTTACTAATCTTACTCCCCCCCCCCCCAATGCTGTGACCAATAAATAGGAGGACTCACGTCACGCCCCAGATTGTTGAAAGAGGTTCCCAAAGTTGTGCTTCATTTAGTGAAAAAAATTGCCTGTTTTTATTCCAGAATTTTTACAGTTTGTGGGGGGGGGGGGGCGTCTTAGCGATAAAATGTGTACAGCCATTTAGGAAATTTGTATTCTGTAGTCAATGAGGAGTAACATGAATATCTCGGACGACGCCAGTAATGTCAACATCAAGGAAACCTATTTGATGTAGACAGAGAGGTTGAGACAAGAGTGCAGACGGCAAACTCAATTAGCTACTGTTATATAACAGCTTGTTTACATAATTTTTCTCGTGCGTGCCCTCTGATTGACCCCGCAAGAGACGCTGTGTTCACAGAGGGGTGTGGCTTAGTCGTTTGATCTGTCGTGTTTATGCCGCCAACCACAAAAAATAATTAATCTGTTCCAAATAGCATTTTGTAGAATGAATGTAATGTTCTAGAAACGTCATAAGTTTTCTGGAAGGCAGGGCTTACGCGACCTATATAAGGGATTGACAGGCACGGACGGAGGGACGGAGATTCAGATGTATTTATTAACTTTACGAGGCGTGTATTATTCTTTGTGTATTTGTGTGCTCATACTTATATGTGTTTATTTCGCATTCATTATTGTTCATTGGCACATTATTCTGTATTAACTGTGTACCGGTACGAGATCTACCATACTGTAAGTTGAAGATTGTCATTATATTTTATTTTATTTTGTAATTATATTACGACTTAATAAATCTTAATTAATTGTAACTAGAAACTGCTTTGGGTTTCGTATCTTTAATATTGTTGATTCTATGGTATTGTCCTTTGTTAGGCACAGTTTACAACGAGCCAAATTAAAATTAAAATAGGAGATTAATTTCTCCCAATACAAGTCAGTGAGTAACAGCTACCAAATGACCCCACTTCCAAGTACCAAGACATTCAAGAATAAATTTTGAGGCCAAAGCCAGACAAAGTGATTGCTGTCTTTATTTCAGTCCAAACTAACAAGTTTCAGATCTGGACTCTAAATAAAACTCTAGAGGGAAAAAATATTGATCTGTGGGATGAGATGTTTAAGGAGAGCAGCTAATAACACGAGATTGGGCTACATTCAGAACCAGGAAATAGGACAAATGGTTGGTTCCATCTCAATCAGCCAGCAGTATGTGCCCCAAAAGTACATTTAAAGGTTTGGTAAGCTGGTAGGCCCATCTGCTAACCAACCTGCCTTGCAAGCTTTTAAGAGAAGGACCCAGAGGAAGACCACCGTCAGTAAATTGACTATTAAGGGCAATCTCAAAGTCCAAAACAAGAACCTCTTGGGAGAGATCACGTACTATACCTCCCCGTCACGCCTCCACGGTAAAAACGGACCGAAGAAGATGGAGAGATGAGGAGTGAATACAAAGCTGAAGACATAATTAACTTTAGGATTTATATCTCCGTGATATGAAATCATAAAAAATGCCATTCTTCAAATAGTATACTTTCAATAAATATATATAATTATTTTTTGTTCAAATTTTTAAAAGAATGTATTAATTTACTTTAATTTTTCAATGCACCAGACATAGAGCGGCGGCTCACATTTCTTAAGTTAATTGACGAAAAATGCATTCAAGTAGTTCACTTTATTTGAATACCAATCTGTGTTTCTCTCAGGAATCTCTACGTGTGGGGAGGGAGGGAGTGGGGGTGGGGTTAGGCCAGAGCAAGTAAAGTCGCCTCCTTGGGAGTAATGTGTAGTGTAAGACTATAGGCTTAATTTTTCTTTTTTTTTACGATCAAAAGATCGTAAAAACGGAGGCAAATGTTAGCCTAAATTGTCGCTGATTAAAATTTATGTATTACTACAACAAAATATCGAGGCGGTCGATATATTTGAAGACTGGAATATTGATATCCAATCTAGTTACTATTACATTATTGCATTCTAAATAGTTTAAATCTTCCTGATTAAACATATCTTCCCAGCGAAATAAAGACAAATAACGCTCACATTTTTGCTATTTTTACAATGTAACTGAAACACATTACCATTTATTTGGATCGATAAAATAGTTTATCTTATTTTGCGCATCAGACATTGAATCTGTTTTAAAAATGTCTCTTTCTTAATATGCGATAAATCTTTTGTTTAAAAAGCTTTGGGTTAATGGGGTATCAAACTGCATCTTCCTTTTAAATATAGCATAATTTTTAAAGTAGTCGATTCCATGAGTACTCTCCTAGAACAAAATGAAAAACTTTACATTTGAATTCATAATTTATAAACAAATGAAGTTTTTTATTGTGGGTCACGTTTTATAATTTAAAAAAAAAATAATAATAAAATCGTTTGTATCTTCTTGCAGTTTCTTACTTTTGTGACGCAGTTCACTGGATAATACATTGGTGAAGAGACATTTTAAACCATTTGATAATAATTATTAGAATAATAAAAAAAATTTGCTCCATCAGTTTGATCAATTTATAATTAAACAACTCTGGGAAAGTATCAAAGAGAAGTCGAAAAAAAACAGTTCTCGCGGATTAGTTTTACTTTTACGATTTTCATATTTTTCGCAATCCCTCCCGTGAAAAACACTCTACAATATGAGATAAGGAAAAAGGGGCTGTGTGGGTTGATGCCCCCCACCCCTCCTTCTTACGCCAATAGTTGATTGATTTATAATTTATCTTCTTTGCATAATTATATCATTCATATAGGCCAACAGTTTTTAATAAATGACCCGCCTTAACTATGCAGTAAAACATGAATGGAATCAATCAACATAACATTATTATTCTAGTAAAATGTGGTAATGTTAAAAATTTTAATTAATTCAAAAGAGTTTGCCTAATTAATATAGTTTATTGAATTTGCGTTCAAGTCACATAATGACGTCCGTACTTTCTGAGACTATTGCCGATACTGTGCACCGGCACTTTTCGGGCTGAATTATTTTAAGATTAATTTATTAATGAAGTAGGTCAAACAAATGTATGATCATTAGAACACAATATTTCTATTTAGTAACACTTTATTTTAAAAAACTATTATTATAAGACTTAGAACACAGCCAGGTTTAGAGACATCTAAATTCCCAAGCTACCTGTTGCTCAATTGATGCAACACTAAAGTAAGGGGGGCACAAAAATGCATTCCTTGATTTTGAATTAATCAAACATTTTTTGGGGAGGGTCTCACACCAATCCCCATACCCCTCTCCTTACTTTCAGCTCAAATTTCACCGACATTATTGGCAGCTTGCTATATATACATATACAAATCTTGGATGTTAGTAATATGAACTGTTTTATTTTTAACTGACAAAAATGTTATTTTCATGGTATCAAATCAGTTTATGTATAGCGGGGCGGCGGATTCAGAGCTGGTGCTGGGCGCCATTATGCCCACTTTTGCCGTTAGCAGTTGCACTGCTCCACCCCCACTGCCTGAAATCCCCCTCAAATTAAAGAAACACTGGTGCTAATTTCTGGGAATATTTATTTTGCAAGCCTGTTGAACACATATATATCTATATATATCATTCGCCAGAAGAAGGGCAAACACCACCACGCAGGCTATATATAGATACGCCAAAGCAAGCAACACGCAGGCAACCCCCCCCCTCACTCCCCTTGCCTGTCCTTCGTTGGTCTCGAGACATGCGCACTGTGGTGGAGCTACCGCCCCACCCTTCCTGCACCACCCTCGCTTACCAGCGAAGCTCGCGGCGTTTGCTAAGCCGCAGGTCGCGTATCATGAAAAAAAAAGGGGGAGGAAGGGGTGTAGCAAAATTGGCATTTTTAAATGTGCGTAACTTGAGTTCACGTTTTTGTCAAGTAACTTTAGTAGATTGGAAAGTTCACGCATTGCTGTCGCCTATGTTTGGCGGGATACATTTGGTTTGATATATTTTCATATTTTAAGTTTTATGACTAAAGAAATACGTAGGCTAAAAGTAAAGAACGAAACTCCACTTTAAATGCAAATGAACACGTATGATGATGCGTAGTTGTCAAGTTATCACTGCTCATGAATGACTTGGTCATTGCTTACATCCGGGTTTCCCAACCTTATCTAGCGTTTATAAATAACTAACCTTTTCATTTGAAGAGGGTTTTTTTTCCACCTTCACAGTTTCATCAGTGGCCTCATTCATTTCAGCACACACACACACACACAACGCAGTTGTAGTCGATAAGGTGTAATCAGGTTATTATAGTGGGATCCTTATACAACAAAGAGAGACGCTCCCGATTGTCTCTTTTAAGCTTTTTTTTTTTAACAAAGACCAACATAGGAATATCATAGGCGTATCTCTTGTCCAGCTGAGAAGTCGATTCAGTTTCAAATGCTGAAATAAAATAACATAAACTATTTGAATTTTTATAGTTTTAATCTATTTTAGTGTCTTGCGTTAAATTTATGTTCATTTTTTACCTGTGTGTTTAGTGGCCATTTGGACTAAATGAGGATGTTGGCGCCCTGTAAATCTCTGTGGGAGAACAACTCCATACAGTTGTAAATACAGTACAACCCCGCTATAACGCGATTATTGTGCTACATAAAAGACGGATCGGGTTCATTAGGGAATCGCGTTACACTGGGGTTTTACAGTAATCCATTTCAATAGCGAGGTAAATTTTTTGTAAAAGGAAAAAATTAAAAATCAGATTTGAAGATGAACTAGTTTTAGTGAATTTATGAATGTAGTGTATGGAAATATATACACATGTATTGCGTAACATTTTTTTCTTAAAAAAATTAATAAAAAAATCATGTGTGAATGCATGAACGACGATTGCGAAAGCCATGCCACAACCACATTATGTCCGAATTCGCGTTGTAGCAGGTTCCACTGTGTCCATACTGCCGACACCTAGGACATTGTAACTTTTCAAATTATCACTCCAAATAGTGTGTGTCATTAGGACTTAGGTGCCAGGGGTGTCTACGCAGGGAGAAGTGAAGCAGGGATCTTTGTTAGAAGAAAACAAAAGAGCAATTTAATTCTGACCTAGGCTGGGAGTCGAACTACAATCATCTGGTTTGGAATAATACAATACATTTTTAAACAAAAAAGAACCTTTCAGCCTCCCGACAAAAGTGTGCATTTTTAGGATTAAAACGAAATCAAAATTATAGACGTACTAAAATTCGTTTTCTAATGCTCACTGGATTCAAACATTTTTTTCTGCTCGAAAATGTGAAGATTTCTTGAGCTATTAGAAATAAGTAAAATTTCAATAATTTGTTATCGATGTTATGATCGAATGGTCAGCAATGTTCCAACAATTTATATCTGTGTATTTGGTTATTAATAATGTTCATACCAAACGCCCGTATCAAACAACACACCCTGACTGCCATGACCCACACACAGAATTTATCTAGTTGTTATGTAGGACGTGTTTACGTCACACTTTCCCCGTGCCGTGAACTTTGTATAGCCAAATCTAACCGACGCCGCGTGGGCGTTGGGCGTGGCCTGCCCCTTTCATCTTAGCGTGTTTACTGCCGACACCAATTAATCTGTATGTTGTAGAAAGTTCGCGATTTGACTAGAAACGTGAACAATGTGTAAGTCGTTTCTGGATGCGTCGGTAGACCCACTATATAAATAAGGGGATTCAGCGAGGGAGGGATTGGGAGATATTTTTAACTTCATGAGACAAGTGTATTATTATGTGTGTACTCATTTGTGTTTATTCGTATTCATCATTGTACCTTATTTTTGTGGCACATTGTACTAACAGTTATTACTGTGTACCGGTACAAAACTTCCCATACTCTGTAAGTTGATGATTTTAATTATAATTCTTTTTTTTTTTAAATTATATTAATACGTAAATAAATATTATTAATTGTAATTAGTACTGTTTTGGGTGTCGTATTTTTGCAAATGTATTTCTCTATGGTATCGTCCTTTGTTAGGCACTGTTTGAGCGAGCCAATAACTTTAAAAAAGAGATTAATTTCTCACTATAGAAGACAGTACGTAACACAAACCCTTATATTTCAGTTTAGGGTTAGAAACCAGAAGTACAAGCTAAAGAAAAAAAAACACGGTTTTTTGCATCGACCTCTAACGGTCAGTAACACTAGATGATGAGACCAGCAACAGAATTTCTCCTTGACGCCAGCGAGACGTGGATAGCTTAAAGCAGTCATGCTAGACCGGTGGGTTCTCAAAGTTGCTCCGAGACACAGTAGTGAACCTCGAGATCAACAAGGTGTGCCGTTAAACTTATGAGACGTTATTAATATTGCTGATAAAAGAAATCATTAAATAATTCCACTAGAATTTTGTGTACAGAACAAGAGAATTATATTGAAGATTGTATGTTGATTTTTACAGGTACCTTATAATCTGAAATGTCGCAAGTAACTCTCGTGATACTAAATTATATCAACCTCGATTATCCTTCAACTAAGTTGAACACCCGATTATGTGAATACAAATTATAACGACCAGCATCAAATGGTAATAGTTAAAGAGTCTATTCACATTGGCTGAACGCGGATTAAATTATATATATTTTTTTTTTACATATTTAAGGTCAAATAAAACAATATAAATACTCAATATAACTTACACCGGTTACGGGAGCAGCGCGAAGCTTATCCAGCGGTACCGCAAAACTGAAACGTTTGGGAGCCACTGTCGTAAAAGATGAACAGTTGCAGTACGTGATAGGACCAGTGATAACGGTGACTTTGAAATCTAAAATGTAACAGATAATAGCTAGGCACGGTTTTATGGTCGAAAAGAAAGATCAAACTTACAACAGGTCTGTTCAAGGGCGTAGGAAAGGTGGGTGCTCACGGTAGCACCTTCTGTCCTCTTTTTTTTTCTTTGAAAGGTGCAATTTACAGCGAAATACACTTTTTTTTCGTGTAAAAAAAAAAGGGGGAGGGGGGCGAAAGCTTTCATCCGCCCTCGGGCGGCTCTACCCCTAGCTACGCTTTGTTATCGTGATTGTAGAAATGTTAAAAGTATAACAAGTACTTCATATATATATATAAATATATATATATATATATATATATATGTATGTGTGTGTTTGCCTCGTGTTCCCAACTGATTGCTACGTAAATGCTATCTGAGAACTAAAGATGAATCAAATACTTTATATTTATTGGAAAGATAACCACGTAAACATACATAAGATGATGATCAGCAGTTGCCAACAAGCTTAAATATATAAACCAAGTTATATTTCCAAATATTAACCTTCTATAGTATTCGTAACTTACAATCAAACTGCCCATCAAGATTCAACTACACACGGCAAAGTAACACAACGGCGACTTCATGGAAAACCATCACAACTGACATTGATATATAGTACCTGCTGATTTAACTTGCGTGCACACCTAACAGCTGGTGCTTATCGACAGCACACGAATATACGTAATGACGACCCAGTAAGATGGTTTGCTGCTTTGTACGGTGGATGGTAAGGATCAACAGCGGTTCTAAAAGTGGGCATCCCCGGTGGTGACGGAATTTCTAAGGGGGTTGCTAAAAGGGGAGAGCCAGCTGTGGTTATCACAGGGAGGGGGCGCTGCTGTTGTCCGTAGAGCAAACAAAACTGATGTGTGTATGCAGTGGCGTTAATTGTGGGCTGCGGGGTGCGGACCACACCGGAGGTCAGCCTTACGAGGGAGGGGGGGGTGACAACACAAGAAAAAAATTATTGTCAGTTTTATAAAAAGAAATCTGTTAAATACAAGAACATGGTGACACATAACAAGGTGACACATAACAAGGTGACACATAACAAGGTGACACATAACAAGGTGACACATAACAAGGTGACACATAACAAGGTGACACATAACAAGGTGACACAGATCAGGTTGTAAACAAAACAGGTTGCGATCAGATCAGTGATCCACCACATTAGATTGCTACCAATACAGGATTCCACAAGAACAGTGTGTCACAAGGCAGAGCAGGTTTTCCCAAAACAGAGCAAGGCGCCCTAATGGAAGGTTGAACACGCAACAGGATGCCACCAGAGCAGAGTATCGCCAGAGAAGGATGTCACCAGAGCAGGTTGCCAACAGAGCAGGGTGCCACCAGAGCAGAGCTCCACCAGAGCATAGAACCACCAGAGCAGGATGTCAAAAGAGCAGGAAGTCACCAGAGCAGAATGTCACCGGAGTAGGCAGAATTGGTTGACGTTTATGGGGAAGTCTGGAGGTCTGTGAAGAAAATAGCTGTGAGGGGGGTATCAAACGACACCAAAGACTGTGCAAAACAAGAGGGTGACGCTTGAGTGTATTATTCATTTTCACTATGAACTCTAAAACAGATCAAGAGTCATACAGGAAGTAGCCGATATATTTGCACTGTTCAAGCTCTGTGTGCCCTGTTGGCAACTGAAGAACAACCAGTGGTCTCCATTCCCAAACAGAACACTTTCACTCTCTATGATGAGTTCCCTGAATGGGAACTTTTGATGGCAATACCAGCAATGCCGTGAAGACAGCTGAGAGCTGCAAATATTAACCTCGGAGACGCCAACGATTGGTTCATATTTGAAGTTTTGAAAGTCGTACATGAATGGCGCCTCCTACTGTCTCTACAAATCCTCCCATTATGTGCGGAAAAATAGGGGTGCAGGAGTCCGGAAAATATAGGAGTGGGGGGTCGGGGGGTCAGGGGGCGTGGATGACACCATGACTTTACCGCACTGGGCGACGCCTAAATGTGTGCGCGTGTGTGCAAGCTTTTTTTCTTTTATTCTCAATGAAAATCTCAAAGGTCTCTTGACGACCTGCTTCTAATAGTTCCGTTTCTTATTCTTATGGGACCTTTCTTTTCCATACTGCCCGACATCCACGCATTTTGAAATATGGTGTTAAATATGTGACAGCCCACAGAACTGTATGTGAAAGGGTGAAGAAATTATCATCATCTGTAGCACTACAGCCCATGTATGGCCTACTCCACCACATCCTTCCATTCGGAGCGATCCATGGCTTTCCGTCTCCATGCTCGAACCCCCAACTGGTGTAAATCTAAGGTGAAAAAATTAACATTATTTTAATAGCTTTATTAAAGAAAACAGAAAAAAAATACATGGTGTGCTTTGAAAAAGAAATTTGACGCAAATTTGATCACCCCAGTTGCCTCTGCTGAGGAACTTGCAAATAAACTTGATTTTTCTGGAGCTCCTTGCGTCTGCTGGCAACGTCTCGCACAATCCCAGTGGGGTGCACACATGCCTGGTTAAGATCCCCTGATTTGGAGTATCGTAAGGAAATACCCGTACATGTTATTCATAATCAGCACATGACTCGGGGTTTTCGGGGGAAATAGAATTCAAGGTATGTAACTCGTGTCAAATTAACGGTTCACAACTATTTTATGTTTCTGATTCCACTAAAAGGATATTTTATTGTATTGACTTCCCGTGCGACGATGTAAATAATAGCGACATCCAAAATAGTGGTGAAGGGGTGGGGACTGAGGGGAAGAGGTGGCGGTTAAGGGCGGGTGGAGGCATCTGGGTAAGACGCATAAGTGAGGGTGTAGGGTGGAGAAATTAGGGGAAGAGAGTGTTGAATGGGTTGGGGATTTATAGACCAGGAAAGATGGTGGGACCCAGTGGAAGGAAAGAGAAAGATGGTGGGACCCAGTGGAAGGAAAGAGAAAGATGGTGGGACCTAGTGGAGGAGGGGGAAATGGAAAGATGATGGGACCCAGTGAGGGCAGTGGAAAGATGATGGAACCCAGTGGTGGGGTTGGAAAGATGATGGGACCCAGTGGAGGAGGGGGGAAAGATGGTGGGACCCAGTGGGAGGAAATGGAAAAAGGATGTGACCCATTGGGAGGAAATGGAAAGATGGTGGGACCAAGTGGGAGGAAATGGAAAGATGGTGGGACCCAATTAGGGGAAATGGAAAGATGGTGGAGCCCATTGAGAGGAAATGGAAAGATGGTGGGACCCAGTGGGAGGAAATGGAAAGATGATGAGACTCAGTTGGGGGAAATGGAAAGATCTGGTGAAAAATTGTAAAATACAAAAAAGAGACCAATATGAAAACAAAAATGAAAATCTCTAACACGATAAGAGTCATCACAGCTGGTGTAAACAGCCAGATCTATTTTTAGATTTCTCAGAAAAAGTTATTTGTTACAATCCTTTATGTTTTGAGAATGAGGCCGCCTCTCCACTGTACCGTATTTATGAGATCGGGGGTGGGGGGGGGGGGTACAGAAAATTTTGTTATTTTTCAACAGAAGAAGTACTTGTGTACCCCCACCAAAAAAAAAAAAAAAAAAATTGCATGCGTTTTTTTTTGGACACCCCTTTTGAGTTCGTTTAAATGACTTTTGAGCGCCCCCCCCCCCTTTTTAAAACATAGGTGATATTGTTATAGCCTTCGAGTTGTAAATTTAACATGTATAAACTTCAAAAATTTCATAATAATTTTCCGTAAATGTTTGAATGACCTTACGTACATTCTGAGGTCATACACACCCACACACGAACTCTCAAAAATCAACAGCCCTTGGCCCCATCTCCCCCAGTGCTTTCGCACTATAGAGGTTGCTCCTCACTGCTTTATTCATCGTGCCAATAACCTACATAATGTGCTTCATAAGACGCATTTTTTGTTGTCTTTCGTCATTATTAAATCTTTTATAACGTATATTCCATTTTGAAAAATTCAATGTCACATTTCACCTGCTTAAGGGCTCCATCCACTTCAATGTGGAAGAATCAGCTGAATCAGTTCATTTGTTCGGTCTCAAATCATCAAGTGACGTCAAGTAGGCGTCCAAAAATCGGATTTATGCTGAGAGGTGAAGTGCCGGCTATTTCTTTGTACACAAAACGGAGTCAACACTTATATGTAAATATATTAGAAATTACCACCGATGTTATCGAGATAATAATGGCCGACACTTTGGTATAACTTCCACCAGCTAGTGCGAAAACTCATCAAAAGTCCGTGCTTTAAAAGGCATTATATCATAATTTCAGTAAAAGTTTTAAGAAGCATTTTTCTGCTATATATTTATAGCTACTCTTCCCGTTCGGACCAAAAAACTACAGTTTGTTTTCTCTAAACATGATCTTAAAATACTGTTATATAGAGCTTGCTCACATAATTTTTCTCGTGCATGCCCTCTGATTGACCCCGCATGAGACGCTGCGTTCACACAGGGGTGTGGCTTAGTCTTTTGATCTGTCGTGTTTATGCCGCCAACAACTAAAAATAATTACTCTGTTCCAAATAGTATTTTGTAGAATGAATAAGATTGTTCTAGAAACGTCATAAGTCTTTCTGGAAGGCAGGGCTTACGCGACCTATATAAGGGATTGACAGGCACGGACGGGGGACGGAGATTCAGATAGATATTTTTAACTTTACGAGGCGTGTTTTATTTCTTGTGTATTTGTGTGCTCATACTCTTATTTGTTTATTTCGCATTATTTATTGGCACATTATTCTAAATGTGTTTACTGTGTACCGGTACAAGATCTACAATACTGTAAGTTGAAGATTGTAATTCTATTTTCTTTTCTTTTTTAATTATCTTAAGACTTAATAAATCTTATTAATTGTAACTAGACACTGCTTTGGGTGTCGTATCTTTAATATTGTTGACTCAATGGTATCGTCCTTTGTTAGGCACTGTTTACAACGAGCCAATTAAAATTAAAATAGGAGATTAATTTCTCCCAATACAAGTCAGTGAATAACAATACAGAATCTAAATGATCACTAATTAAATAATCATTGTTACTAACTGACACACTCTGGTGAGTGTCTGAGATTACTCTCTTATAACCCCGGCTAGTAAATTGGCTATCAACTCCATCTGTTGAGCTGAGCCATACAACATTTTCCTCACAAAGAGGCCTCCCACCGCCCTGGCTTCCCCCGGGAGATCTAGTGAGGGACATTCGGTCAGCAGGTGCTCTAGAGTCTCCAGGACCAGGCTGCAATGCCGGCTGGTTGGATCCCTGTTGTTATCCAGCCGCCAGAAATATGTGCGCAAGGGGCAGTGCTCGGTGCGCATCTGCGTCACTAAGCTCTGCTGTCTGCGTCCTAACCCCCACCATGGGTCTTGTTTGCTAGGAGTGGGCAAGTTTGAATAGACGCATCTGGCTGTCGTGTTGTCTGCCCATCGACTGAAGTTACTAAATAAGTCAATTGACGGCTGATTTCTATGCTTGCGAAATATATTAGATGTCATTTGTTTTTAAATTGTTCAAAGTTGGCCTACTCTGCCATTTTTCGTGACCCCAAATTAAATTTTTCTTTTCTAAAAAAATGTTAAAAGTTAATCTTAAATTTACAACAAAAAATCTCATACCATTTTAATAAATTTTATATTAACGGAATTTTAATTTGCTAATATTTTCATTTAAAATTTA